GCCTTTCGAAATACGATTTGTTATGTTTACTTCTATCTATAAAATTATTTCGCAGAATTTGGAATGAAAAAAAAATGACCTTGACTGTGTTTGCGAAGGATTTACTTATTTCAGAAGACATTTATTATCTTTCTCCTCTCCCAATGCATGGCATATTCATGCATTCGTGCAAAACGGTAGTATTGGGAAGCCAATCCCGTAAATTTTATCAGCAGTTAAGGGATTAATTTAATTAATCCCTTAATAATTCATTTAATTATAAACCATACAAATTATCAAGATAAGTGTTAATTTTTTTGCATATAATTTTATATATAGCAAGGCCATGGGGTCATTATTAACTATGAAACTTATTCGTAACTTAGAGTATTGTAAAATTATTATTAAAATATATTGTGCAGTACTGAAATATTTATAAGAGAAGTCAGAATAATCAGTGTAAATGTTTTTTTTTTATTTCTTTACCATGTCAGAATGTATTTTGTTAGTTTACTTTCAATAAATGAATAATTTTTTTAAGTAATCTTTTGTTTTCGACTTTTCAATATGCTCACACTCCCTACCTAGTTTTATCACATCCCTCAAAGGGGGGGGGCTCCCCAATTTGGGAAGCGCTGGTTTAAAAAGATTACCACATATGTCTCCAGTAGCCTTTATGTTGCTTCGAAGTGTAACATGAATAAACAACCATATAAATGCCCTCAGCACACAACACCTCGAAATGAGAGTTTATGCTTAAATTACTATTAGAATTTGGTTAAGATTTCCAGTTACGTCGCCAGTAGCCCTCGTACCTCTACGAAGTGTTCCAGGAATGAACAACCATTCAATCGACTACCATATAAATGTCCTCAGCATTCAACACCTCTGAATGAGAGTTCATACTAAGCGATAAGAACCCAAGTGGAAAAGATTGATTAGTAGTATTCTGATATTGGCTATAATAAATTAGCCACTTCAGTACATTGAGTCAAATTAATTTCAAATCCACCCTACAGCGTCTTTAATCGAGAACATTATCTCAATACCGGTGTCTTCCCAAGATTCTCTTACATTAATGTCTTCGCGAATTCTGGTCTGGTGTCATTTCCAAGTTCTACAACTTAATCAGACAGAACATCTCCAGAACTAAGCCTTATGTTTATAAACTTTGATCTTGGTAAGCTCATAAGACTTCAAAATTAGACCCGCGTGCCTGTTCTTCATGTGTGATTAATTAGATGCTGCTCCCAAATACCTATTCACATAATAGGACTTCGTTCCAGCGTGAGGTAGATTGTTGGATAATTCAGGGTGTGTCGTTTGATTGAAGCCTGAGTGGGATTGCCCTGGCATAGATGCTAAATTAAAGGACTCGAGTGAAATGATTTTAATAAATGCTTTAGGACTAATTCATTCAGAGAGAGTAGACATTATTGTTTTGCTCTAATTCAAGGTAAAAGCATACAGTTATCTCTCTTTGGTTAAGTAAATGTCATATTATGACTAATTTTATTTTAAAATATGAAATGTTTGAAAATTTTGGAAATTAGATGGATTAATCCCCTCAAACTTTTGAACTTAGTCTCTAACAATTGAACAAGAATTAGTTATTTTACACGGAGAGTCTTTATTGGCAGCAGTACTCAAAACAATGTCGGTAACGAATTCGTGAACTCGACCATCCGTTCCTCGTGGTCACGAACATTTTTGGAAGACTAAGACGCATTTTCATTTTTCGACCGTAATTGAAATTGACAGTTTGGACACTAGTATTTACTTAGTACTTCAAAATCCAAATACCACCGTCTAAAAGAAACTGGTGCACGTTCAATATGAAGAGGTTATATGTCCCCTTATGCTGACATGTTGTAGAAGTTTGGAAAAAAGTGTTGAACCTCAGGTATGGCCTCCGTCAGTTAACTTTGGTGGTTCAGAAAGAAAGGGTATTATCACCAATAGTAGGTTCAAACTGCGATGCTAATAAAAAATAAAAATCAGTTAACTTAACTGCAATTAAAAATATAACTTAATTGAAAATCATTGAAGGACTATACCGTCCTTTGATATTCTGGGTTGCAAGAAAAATTAATTCTTTCAAGGTATCCTTGTTCAATAATGTTTCACTATTTAAAAAAAAAAATCTAAAATAAGGGGCACTATATTTAACATGGATCTTACATTATATTTTCGGAGTTTGAAATTTCATATGTATAACTTAAAAACAACATAATTAAAACTATAGCAACTGCTTTACACTTTCTAACTTTGAATTTAGCCAAATATCAATTCTAAAACAAGCCATTCCAAAATTTTAAAATCTTGTGTAAATATAAATATTATTTAATATTTTTTTCGTATTTTCCTTGAGCATTTATAAGTCTTATTTTAAATACTCAAGGAAAATACGAAGCATATACCTCTTTGCAGCCCAAATTGTGTTAAATAATACCTTGGAATACTTGTAAACCTTTAAGAAAAAGACTATGGTGTGTTACTCTAACAAACTTTAAAAAAAAATACAATTATAATATAATATGATAAGTAAAACTTATTTTTCATGCATCAAATGTTACCAGTCAATTCCTCAAAAAAGTTATAATTAGATTACCTCCGCATTGATGACGAATGTTAAAAATATTCTTAACTGAATCATGTTATAAAAGTAATTTTAATTGCCCATGTGCTTTCATAAATTTGTTGAAAAGTCAAAGCTATGAAAGCAGAATCATTTCCTTAAACTGAGTAAAAAAATGAAATAGAAATGAAAATTAAAATAAATTAAAAAGGAATAAAAAAACCATTTTTATTCCCCCGATTTACTTTAACGTGTATGGCCCTACTTTACTTGCATTTATTAATTTATTGTTGTTGTTATTTATGACATCCGATCACACAGCAGTAACAATAGTTGAAGACCTACGAAATTCATCGTGGCAAGGAGCTAACTTTTTAGGCCAGTTGTTAGACGCACTTTGAGAACCATGCTGGGGGCAGTATAATTGGGCTCTGCTCCTCTAAAATTTTGAAAGAGAACACCCTGGGGAGGATTTGGGGCCTCATACTTCTCTTCTTCCACCAACCTTTCTAGAGGACTTGCGTCTAGACAAATATTTCCAGTACACCCAAGACACACAACTACTATACATTTAACAATATCCATGTCTATAGTTAACTGCTATACTGGATGGGTGACCATTAATTTTAAACTACATTTAGCTATATAATTTTAACATGTAAGAGTTACAAATGAATATTAATTGCTTACTCGGTAAATCGATAAAATACTTGGGAAATATATTTTAAAATTAAAATCAGACATTATTCGAGAGAAATACTCTAATACAATGTAACTCATTTTCATTTTAATTCATTTTCCCAAGACATGCATATCATTATGTTCTCACTTTGAAATCATTGAAAGAAAATTTAGCATAGTATCATACGCCTTTATTTTATTTTAAATAATCCAACCAGAGAGAGAGAGTATATGGTTAATGACATATCAGTGACTCCAAAAATCGTGACCCAATTCTAAAGTTGAATCTTTTCACGAAGCCTCATTCATCAAATTACGACATGGCCATCTATCTTGATATTGAATTTCAGTCAGCCCAAAATTGTAAGAGGTTAATTAATCGTCCTTTTAAAATGACGATGTGAATGAAAAATTGCTTTCGAATGTTGTGTTTTAAGGAGAGATTCACGCTCCATTTTACGGAAATGTATATAGCTCGCAGAGTGATACCCCGAAATTATGCAATAATTTTGATGTAAGTAAAATCTCGCGATGAATTTTAACTTGGGCAAATGTGAACGTAATGTGTTTAGAATATTATGAACCGAATCCTAGAAATTTATTCGAGATTTTTGCATAATTTGACGTATGTATTAACTGTTCATAAGAAATAAATTTTATTATATGTAAAAACGTAATATTAAGAAATTAAATTTATGTAGCGTAACATCAGGTGTATAAAGTGCACCGGCGTATAATGCGCAGCTATACTTTCAAGCTGCATTTTTTAATGTTTAGGTGCATTAGCTGTATAACCGTGCACCCCTTTTTCAATTCCAACTTAGTTCACTCTCTTCCTATAAATATTTATTCTATGACTACTATTAGTTTACAGTCTCCCTATGTATATTGTTACGAATTTTGTATAAAATAATGTAAATAATTGTATTTGGATGTGAATTGCCTTTGTATTACTCTATGCTATATTTATTTCATGATAAAATTGTAATATTCACAAGCAATGCCGTCCCTTACGTTATAATGGCGATTCAAAGGGAAATTGGCGAAATATTGGCGATAGAGCCAAGTTGGCATCATTTTTGGTAACCAAGTTGGCGAGTTCGGGACCCTCTGGATTCTTCTAGAAATTAGTAGAGAAATCCACTAATTTCACGATCTGTGGCGCGAGCGCATCTTTCCAGAATTTTCGGACTCTGCTATAAATAGAGAGAGACGCGCCGCAACAGTCAGTCAGATTTTAACCAGCGAGTAGTGAGCACTGTTTTGATTAGCGATTATAAGACTTGCCTTGCATTTGATAAGCTCGGCTGTGCTTGTGAATAGTCATTTACATGCGTGGATTTTAGACACTGCTTATTGTGTCTGAGTGCTGTTGAAGGTGTGAAATCCTTCTGTTATTTATTCTGCAAATTTTGCTGTTGAATCCTGTATTTCAAGGATTGACTTCTGACAATAAATTCTCATCGCTCTTAAAGAACTGTCTTGTTGTTTATGTCTGATTTTGCATAAAATCCTCGAACCCCGATCTACGTAACAATATATATGTTTATATTTATCAAAATTTCAATCGTTAATAAAATACTTTTTATCACTAAAGTTCTAATAAATTTTTTATATCTTGTAGTAGATTGCACTCACTTGATGTTAACACAGTTTTTTGAAAAACAAAATCATTAATTAAATTTAAAAAATGGAAAAATAGCAACACACAAAAATAATAGTCGAACAGCATATAGAGAAAAGAAAATCGTTCGTTGTGTCCATGTAGCGCAATAGATAGCGTGTTGGGCTTTTAATCTTAAATTCGTGGGTTCGAATCCCATCTGAAATGGCCTAATTTTTCAGAAGATTATTTCTTTTTTTACTATATTATTTTAAAAGATACATTAAATTTAATTATTGAATGAATAGAACAAGAAAAATAGTCCAACATCATATAGAAAGAAAAATGGAGAATTGCAAGCGAAATATCTTTCTATTTTGCCACTTAACATTGTGTTTCTGTCATATGTATATACATATTTATATTGAATGTAATTATTTTATAAAAAGTAACAAAAATAAAATTTCCCTTTGTTAACCGAAGTAGGAATTGACAATTTTTTATATATATATATATACTTGTTTACAAAGAAAAATTTAAATGTTCTTTTGCAATGCATTTATGTTTTGATGCCATCTATTCGAGGTATTACCCCAAGCTGCAGAAAAAAAATAGTATACTTCTAGAACTACAACTCTTTTTAAATTTATATGAAATGTCTCTCATTTCTTTTGAAAAATCGGAATTTCGATATTGGCAGAAATCTAATTTTTCTTATAATCCTCTTTTTTATTATTTTCAAAGTTTTCATTTTTATATTATGCGTATAATGCGTACCCGCAAATTTCGATCTTATTTTTTGTGTCAAAAGTGCGCGTTATACGCAAGATTTTATGGTAATATTTTTTACCCTTGTGAAATCTTAGGACCAATTTATAAGAATCAAATATTATAAATATGACTTAAAATTCTTTATTTTATTTTTATTTAGTCATATTACTTGAATTCTTATTTTTAGATTAATATAGTTCTTTCGTATGTATTAGAATTCTATGTTGAAAGAAGGGAATGAATGAGAAATGAATTTTAGTTACTTGATCTCATTATTTTTTGTTGAGTTGTCAACAATTTTTTACATTTTTGTAAACGAAAACTGTTTGAGAACTAGTTTTTCTTGGTTTTATTCATAATTGTAGCCATTTAATGATCTAATGTATTCATTAAAACATCATAGCTGTTATTAAGACAATATTATTACGACAGTTGTGACGGGTGGTATTCGAGGTTTTTTAACTAATCCTTTTAGAGAAAATATTCTTTAACTGTGGTTTGAGTTTAAAACCACCTTCCATAGAGATAAAACCTTGACCTCTTTAAGCCTTGACAATAGATGTGTTAGAGTTCATCGTTAATCTTTAGTAGTGAGTTGCTTGTCCCTATATTATCATCCAAGCAACATCTGCCATTCGGAGAAGTGAAAATAACAGAGAAGCACATTTGAAGAGTACTGTAGCAGCTTAGGAAACATCCAACAAGTGATATACAATGGGATCAAGATATAAGAGTATATTTTATAATCATAAGGTAACCGACTCTCTGGTTTAAAAACATCATTTTTATCAAAAAAAAATAGAAATTTATTTTTTAGTCTATTTTTGTGGCCTGTTTATTAAGCTCTCTAAAAATATCTTACATTTAATTCTGAGTCAAATAAAAAAAAAAACTTTATAGCTTTTTTGTTTTGGGGTAGAGTAAGCCTATAAAGCAAAACCGGATATTTAAATCCGAAACCGGAAGTGTGAGGTTTTGGTTGATTTTCACCCGCAAAATACTATTTTTATTCATTTAAAATATTTTAAGGAATTATTTTAATGTCTAGTAAACTGTATTTCACTTCATAAATGTTTTATTAGATATATTTCGCTTCCAAATAGGCAACAGTTAACTGATTGCAATGTTTGTTTTGATTTAAACGGGTTGCGATATTTTTATCAGTTGCGTTCAAAATTAGTGCTCTTTAGATCTTTTTTATTAATACTTTTATATATAGTTATAGTTATTTTTTAAATGAAAGTTATCATGTAAAAAAAATCAGCGAGGTACAAAAAAGAACTTTTCAAAAGAGCAGACTTTTTTGTAGAAACGTTGAAAGAAAATCAACGGATTTTCCTAATTCAGATATTAATCCCATTTAAAAGACTTATATGGATCTTTGCAATCGAAGTCTCCTAAGAAATTGTCTTCATGGGAAAACTCAAAACTTCAATGAAAATCTCAACAATTTCGTGTGGAATATAATCCCGAAAGAGACCTTTTTTTGAGCTACAAACATTATAGTTATGAATTTATGTTGCAATAATACTTTTTAATTCTAGTTTTGTTGGTCTATTACTTCTACTTCAAAAGTTAAGAATAGAATTAAGGCCTTAAATTACGGTAAACTTTTAGTACCTTGGCAATACGAGGATTATTGATTCAACGAGGCATTACAAACCAGATAACAAACTCTCTTTTAAAAAATGAGAGGCCCTTCAAAAATGTATAAGTTTTGAAGTATGTGGTTTACAGGAAAATACCACGTACAAACCTGAAAAGTATTAATGCCTTCCTAAATCTTTAAACAGTTTTATTGCAAATATAAAGTTTATTTTGCGTTTTCACAGTAACGCATTTTTGAACATAACTGTTCACGGTAACAAAGATATCTCTTAAAATAATTGAAATATTCTTATAAACGTCTATGAGTTTATTTTTCAACTTACAATGAATGCTTCGTGCTAAAAACTAAGAGTAATTTTTTAATTAATGTTTTTTAATGTAATTTTATAAAGAAAAAAATTAAGAAAATTCAGGGTATTTTAATGTTGAACACCTCTATTTTATAATTTTAATGTAAAAGTTCAGTTTTTTTAGTATACAGAATAGTTAAATAATAAAAATTTGTATTCCAGCAAACATTTTATTTGTTTTTGTAATATTTATTTTTCTAAAGTTCTTCTCAAAAGTAGCAATTTTTTCTAATATGTTGGTGAAAATTTCTCAATATTTTGAAAAATAATTTTTCAAAACATTCTTTTTGCTGTATTTTTTTTTATAGATTTGCAACATATTTACTTAAAAAAAATCATAAGTCATATTTTTGGGAATTGTCCCCGAACCCTGTCGGATATCTTAAAAGTTTATATTTGGAAACTAATTACAATTGCCTTCATGGTTATTAAACTTGATTTAATGCGTTGATCAATAAAATATAAAAAGTAATTATCTTTGTAACAATATTCGCTTCTTTCGGTGTCTGAAACTGTATCTGTAACCTCTTGGTTGCGACACATATAATATCAATACTTTCATAATTTGTGTTTTTATTCATCATTTAAATTCATAAGAATAAAATATTTTGATACTGCAAGAAGTAAAAGATTTTATTTCATTTTATGTATTTATCTTTCTTCCTAATTCTTGTTATCTAGGTAAAATAATATTGTGAAAAAGGTGATTAATTATTAAAAATACATGCAAATACAATTAAATGTAAGAAAAGCACATGTAGATAATGCCTTAAATTGGCACCTTAGCTTTATCGAAGCACGTAATAACAATTTTTATTTACAGTTTTAATCTCAAGTGGTTATTCTTTCAATTATATAAAATTGCTTATTAAATATGTACATATATTACTCCTTCCACAAACATTTAGAGGCATTTACTTAGACAAACATTATATTTTTCTGCTTGTTATATATAAGGCATGTGTTAAAATTACTGATCAATTTTACAAAATAATAATAATACTAATTTTTTGAAAAATAAATTATTATACAGTCAGATTTCACAATTGCTGAATTTTATTTGTCCCAGTTTTATTTCCCCTTAAAATAAATAAGTTTTGTATAATTAGTTCCTAAATCTCTGTTTCAGCATCTTGGAAAATATTAAAAAACAATCTTATTAAAAAGTAATAATAAATATGAAAGAAGTAGAACTTTAAACTTTGTAAAAAGTTCCTGTTAAAAATTTTAATTTTTAAAATTTTATTAACAATAAAAGTAAAATTTCGTGAAAAATATTGTATTGAATATATAAAAACATTATATATAAAATGCTAAAACATAATTTTTAAATGCATAAATAGACCAAATAAATGTTAAAATTAACCAAATTCCCTTTAAACGTAATATATATATTGTTATAAAACATATTTCAATTCGGATTTTCGAATAGTATTGGGAACTTTGTGGAAGTTTTCCGTTACCAAAGCACGTATTATAGTTTTTAGCACCACATAATATTTGTCTGGACGTATCAGAACGAATTTATTATTTTCATAGTTTTACTGCTTTGATTTTACTTTCATACATACTAAACCTTGATATTTACTTTAACAACAACAATTTATCGAACTCTCAGCAAAAATCTTTCATTAAACTTTGTGCTTTTTGTCTTATAAAGATTGTCTCAGAATAGTTAACAAGATTCTGCTTTTTGAGATGCCTTCTAGCAATATTTTTGCTCATTTTGACCTCAATCAAATATAACCATGAGCTGTTATATAAAGGTAATGCCTTTTTTTAATAAAAACTATTCACAAACTGCTTTACCACTTCTGAAATTTATATTTAACTTAATTTATGTAAGAAATAATAAGTTCATAGCACCCTAACTTTTTGACAATTATCGTCAAATATATTTTCAAAATTGATTTACTTGCGTTTCTCGTTATTTGTGATCAGCAATGTCCATCTTGGTTTCATCAATATTCACTGTTTCTGCTTAAGATAAACATCAATTTCTTCTTATTATAATTGTAATGAAGCTTAAATGATTGTTTAATGTCAATACATTTTGAAACTACGTGGGCAATGTTGATGATAAACCTTATAATTTTGAATGACAGTCGATTGACAGTAGTATCAAACGACCCCTATTGTAAAGAAAATAAATGCAGAATGGAGCTCTTCTACATTACTCACATATCTGCTTTCAATTATTGATTCCTATTTATCTCTGAAAATTTTGTAAGTACATTTCAAATTTCGTGTTAAGGTATTAGGCTAAATGCGACAACTTTTTTCTTAAAAAAAATTGAAGTAATGGGGATTTTTTTGTCATTTTTAGATTTGGTTAGTACATTTTAAGAAAAATATGCTGAAATAAAGAACATAAAAATAAATTATTATTACTAAAATGGGAAACAATGAGTAAAAATCATCAAAAAATAACATAAACGTGGCCCATTCTATACCAACAGTTTATGAACAAATATTCATTTTTTTAAATTCTGATGTGTT